GAAATGTTTTCTCTCTCTCTCTCTCTCTCTCTCTCTCTCTCTCTCTCTCTCTCTCTCTCTCTCTCTCTCTCTAAATGAAGTGTGTGTGAAGTGCTGAGGCATCAGAAAGCACACTGCTGTGGTGACTCAAAGCCGTATCATGGGAATGCTTTCACATATTTGCCAGGATTTATGAGCGTTCACCAGGAACTGTTATTCCTGTCCTTCTCCTGCTCTTCCATTCTTTCGTCACTCACACTCTCGCAGTTTCTCTCTCGCTCTTGTTTTCTCACTGTATTAAACCTGTTGTTAAATTTAGCTCCATTCCTATTCACTGTTAAACCATTCGGGACTAAAAGCAAATGATATCATCCAGGTAATGTATTCAGAACAAAACAGAAAGAGACCTTTAATTTTAATCACGTCCAAACAAACAAGCTTTAAGCCTCCCATTATGTTTCGAAAGGAAAAAGGAATGACTGTGGTTCTCAAAAGAATTTGTATCGCAGTACCTGAAATGACAAATGTTGTTGAGTTGACTGCATAATTTTTCAGCACGGCATTGGTCTTTCCTCTTACAAACATGATGGCATGCTTCTGTTCAGGCCTTGTGATGAAGCTTTGCTCTGTGGTAAAGCTCAATGCCTGACTCTGAGGTGGATTCCTGTCCCTCAGGTCTTTCCCTGAGCTCTTTTCCTGCCAAACCCTCTGCACACCGGTGGCATGGGATCTCATGTGGCTCTGGCTGTCCCCCGCTATAGCCTTGACTGGCATGCGTTACGTCACCTTTCTCATTTCTAATGGAGAAACGTTAGTTTCGGCCCATCGGTTCTGAGAGTTCCTCACGCGTGCCGCCCGCCAGCCGCCTGCTTGCCAGCCATGTTATTGAAATTTAATGATCTAACGCTACTAATGAGTGCTGAAATATGCCCTCGCCACACCGTTCCTTTCTGGATACCGCTGAATTCTTCAAATGTGTTTATTTGAAAGCGTTCTCACTGTGGGGAATATCATGTTCATTTACTGAGATGCAAATTAGCTGAGGGGTACGAAGATGAAAAAAATCATTGATTGTTTGCAGAAGTATGCATAAGTAACACTTGGCCAATATTATTTACTGATTGCCTTCTTTGATTTCATTGCGTTTTCAACCTAACAACTACTTCAGTTGTATTAATTATTGGTATTTTATCTTTTTCTGAGTGACATTTTGATATATACTACTGTTCAAAGGTTTGGGGTTGGTTAGTTTTTTATGTTTTAGAAAGCAGTCTCTGTATCTATTTGATGTAAATATACTTTTTTCTGTGTTTCTATTTGAATATATGTTAAAATGTCACTTATTCCTGTGATGGCAAAGCTAGGACACATAATCCTTCAGAAATCATTCTAATATGCTGATTTGATGCTCAAGAAACATTTCTTATTATTAGCAATGTTGAAAATAGTTGTGCTGCTTAATGTTTCTTTGGAAACTGATACATTATTTGATGAATAGGAAGTTCAAAAGAACAGAATTTATTTTAAATCATTTGTAACTTAAAAAAAATTTCTTTTCTCTCACATTTAATAAATGTAATGTGTCCTTGCTGAATAACATAAACTTAAATCTCATTTCAGTTGCTATAGGATTTACTCTTCAAATGATTTTTGTACATATTTTAAATCGCAATGTTGTTGTTTATATTGCAGTTAACACTTTCTAACCATTTTCTAAAAAAAAAATCTATAATGTATTTATTTATTAATTTCTTGTTTGATTTAACAGTAAAATATTATGTGAAATTATTTGTGCATTACCCAGTAACAGTTATAAATTAAGACAATATTATTTAATCAATTAATTATTATTAATTATTTAAAAACAAAGTGATGGCTGTATTATGAATTTAAAACTCATTTAGTGCCCATTTAGGGGCCTAAAAAGAGAATATGAATCGACAGACAAACTCACTGTGGTTTATATAGTTGAATGCAGTGTTCCTGTGCTAGCTAAATAATTTGAATGGACTGACCATATTTTTAAGCCTACAATGTTTGTCAACAGAGATGCTGCATGTCACAGAGGCCAAAAGTGTGACATTGGGTGGCAGGGGCCCACATTACTGCCACTTCACGAGGTGTGATAGTGCCTTGAGGTTGGTGACCTCTACCGACTATCAGGAACTGCAGTGCTGGAGGCAACAAATACACACACACATTCACACAAACAAAATAAATGCAAAGTCACAGTCACTCTCACAAGCCGCCACCTCTATTACGATGATGTTTCCTATTATATAAGCTCCAGTGACACCTCTATGTTTGTGCCGTTTTATGTAGTGAGAGCCAGCGATTGAGTTAAACCCAATTACAAACTCATAATCAGCATGAGATTCAATCCCTCTGCAATTTGAAAACTGAGCCTGGGGAGTGTTTAATATTAATATATTTACGTGCGTCACAAGATTGCTGCTCCTGTGAGGGTGTGTGTGCATGTGTGTACTCATTGCCCTTGTGAGTTTTGAGCAGTGCAGATGATATGTGTCACTGCTGAGGACTGTGTCTTGTGTCTTTGAGTGGAGGTTAATGTCTCATTTCACAGGCTACGCCTCAGGGCTCACAGCTGACAACACAATCTCTGGTGGTTTGTGTGTGTATGTGTATGTATGCATATGACTGGACTTGCATGTTTTGAGTATAGCCAGACCGGTTGGGTTCCATGTCCTTGTTTGAGCTGAGAAGGACATTACATCACTGCCACACTGCTATTACACACATGGACCACTCAACCCTCAAATGGGATTCCCAGTTCTACACGCTCTGTAATATAATACAGTATAAAGGCTCAAGGCGGTTTGTGGCTGAACCTGGGGAAGTTTAGCTATATGAATGTCCTTATTGGGAAGGTCAGAGTGGTTTATATGTGTCAGTTTTGGTTAGCTAGCTATTTGGCCCATAAAAAACATCCATTGTGTCCCAAATCAAATACTTCTCTACAGTATATGGTATACAAAAAATGGTACACTAAAAGAGTATGACCATATCAACATGGCGGATATAGTACATCTTAACTTTTTCAATGGTTTCCAAGTAAGTTCAATATTCAAATGTAGTACCCACTTAGACGTGATTTCGGACATGCCAACAGGCTTTGTAGTGAAGCTGGTTGACTGGGGTAATTTTGCTTGTTAAGCTGGGCTGGGAGTGAACTAATCACTGGATTTGTGAAGATTTTTCAGTTCAGTTGCATCATGTCTTTCAAAGAAACTCAGGAGTTTTGTTTGAGGCAAGTATCAGGTTAACTAGAGCATGAGACACTTTGTTTTTGATTTATTTTTGTAAAATATTCAATATGTCCCTGCTGAGAAAAGTGCCTGGTTTACTTGTCTCCACTCTTGGT